ACAATGTTTTGTATAGTATGTTATGCCAATTGAGCTTGATGTCCCCTGCGACTATGGTCCCAAGCCTGCAGGTTCAACTAGTCGGTCCCTCTGGGTAGCTACCACCAGAGCTCCTTAAGACTTAATATTAGGCTCATGGTTTTAATGACGAGGGAGGATTTCTGACTTTTCCTTTTTTGGCAAAGCTGATATTTACAACTCCAACCTTTATGTTAACAACAACAGCAAGAAAATAAAAAGTAAAATTTCTAAACAAGAAACAAGTTGCTTTAAGCAGATACTATATACTTTTATGATTCTTTTTGTCTTTGGCTACAGAATTTCTATTTTGTAATTTATGCTAATTTTAATAGATTCGTGGTTTATTACATCCAATTTACTTTGATTACTTTTTGGAAGGAGATAGAATATAGATAACATATGGGCCAAGAGTACAATCAGAATGTGGCACTTGTTTTGTGCTGCCAGATTGTTTTTTTAAACTTAGTCCAGTTATCCATGTCTTTGTAGGAATAGTTTTCTACAATATTCTGTTAAACAGGTAGATTAAATAGGTAGGTCTTTTTAATTTGCATTGTATATATTATCTCAAAGACCACAAGTTCCATAAAGGGAAGGATGTTTGCCTATTCCATTCATGGTCCCTTTGCCATCACTGAGAAGAGAACCTGGCTTGGAGTCAACAATATTTGTTGATGGAATGGGCAGAACAGACAAGTCAGGTCTGTTTCCTTGCTATGAAAAGGAGCTTATCTTTTTTCCAGCATAGTTTGGTGATCCTATCTGAAGTCTCCCCACCCTTTCTTTCTATTCAACACGTTTTTTTCCTCATTTTCTGTATCTCTTTATTGTCTTCATGAACTTCGTAACTTTCACTGTCCTAGCTACCTTCATGGAGCTCTGGTAGCGTAGTGCCTAAGGCTCTTGATTGCTAACCAGAAGGCTGGTGGTTCAAACCGACCAGCCACTCCTCGGAAGGAAGATGGGTCAATCTACTTCCGCAGCGATACTGCCTTGGAAACCTAAGGAGGGGTTGCTATGAGTCGGTCCGACTCGACGGCACATAACAACAGCTACCTTCATGAGGGTAAACCTGGCAGCAATACTTCTAACCAGAACGATGTACTTTAGACATCTGGGGTTGTCCACAGAGGAGAGATATGGCATCCAAACGCCCTCTTTTTGGAAACCCAAGAAGGGGTCACTATCTTGACGGCAGTGAGTTTGGTTGGTTTTTTTTTGGTACTATATAGTTATCAAGCATCAGTTAGAACGTAGGCTAACCACAGGACATACAACCCCAGAAGTGTCAGGAGCAGCTGCAGGCCAGAAACACAGGAGGGACCAGATATGAAAAAGACAAAAAAAAAAAAAAAAAAAAAAAAAAAAAAAAAAAAAAAAAAAAAAAAAAAAAACCCAAACAAACAAACAAACAACAACAAAAAAAAAAACCACAAGGAAGAAGGAGTGTTTCTGAGTGGCAGCAGGGTCAACAAGAATAAAATATTAAAAATAAAAATTATACCCTTCAGATTTGCTGGAGTCTAAAGATGGAAAGATCCACACTACCCCAAACTCTTAAGGAGATATCAGACCTGAAGTAACAATTCCTCAGGTCACCCTTTAGATTGTTGATAAGAGACTCTATGATCACCAGTTGCTCACGTTTATGAGCTCTGGTAGCATAGTGCCTAAGGCACTTGACGCTAAGAAGGTTGGCGGTTCAAACCCAGCAGCCACTCCTCGAAGGGAAGGTTGAGCAATCCTACTTCTGTAGTGATACTGCCTCAGAAACCCAAGGAGGGGTTGCTATGAGTCAGGGCCGACTCAATGGCACATAAAACAACCACAACATGACTACATGTTAATCAAACATCCTTTACCCTTGTTTTTACTATATAAACCGTTGCCTTTTTTTCCTGTCAGTGGAGCTCCTTTCCACTTTCCATTTTTGTGCTGCTGATGCATGAATCATTTGGTCTTGCTCAAGTAAATTCATTTTAAATTTAAAATTTGCCTAATCTCTGCAATTTCCTTTAACAGCAGCTGGCCCACAAACCTAAATTGAGAACGCAGATAATCAGGAGCCCAACCAAGCAAGGTGTTGACACCAGAAGCTGCACATTGGCCAGAAAGTAACTTGGTACAATTCAGCCAAGTTCTGCACATGCCAACCTAGCTCTTTGTAGATGTCTTACTAAGAAGGGCAACCCATGTCAGAGTGGCCTAGATGAAGGAGAAATTGAATTGGCAGATGTTCTAAAATCAAAGCAATCCCTGTTTTCCACCAGAACCAAGGAATTTTGGCAAATAAATGGAGACAATATGCCTTATCCCAATTAGATTTTATGATAAGGTCTTAACTGTGTGACAATTTACATTTCTAATGTTCAAAGTCTTGTCACCCCAGAAGTGTACTGGCAGTAAAGAACTACCATTACAGGGAGGAAGAGGCACTCCCCTTGCAGACTGTGCTTGGCTGCATTCCTTTTAGCATTTCACGTAGTTTCATGATGTTCCAAACTTGTACTCTTTCTGTGTTGAGGACTAGGGAATTTTTAACCCTTTGTTAATGAAAATGATTTGCTTTTGTTTCATAGGGTATTCACAGTTGCCTCTAACTCCAGGAAGACTGTATCCAAATACCATTGGAATGACTTGCAGCCCAATCGCTTCCTTAATTGAACACGCTCACTAATGTTTCCGTACTTCATTGATTTCAGATCAGGTCTTTGTAAAAAAAACTGCTCCTAAGTGGAAATAAAGAGTCATCTTATTAAACCAAAAGAACTTTGGTGATCAAATTGTGATATCTAATCTAACCAAAAAACAAACCAAACTCACTGCCAAGGAGTCGGTTCCAACTCATAATGACCCCTCCTTGGGTTTCCAAGGTGGTATCACTGCAGAAGTAGATTGCCCAACCTTCCTTCCAAGGAGTGGTTGGTGGTACCAGCCTTCTGGTTAGCCATCAAATGCCTTAGGTTCTATGCCACCAGAGCTCTAGGGCTATTCTCCCCTGTCCTATGGGGTCACTATGAGTCATGAGCGACTCATTGGCAGTGGATTCAGTGATCTGATTTCCTGTGTGGGGATCCAGAGCAGAGGCACAGCACTGAGCCTTGGATTCCTCACACAGCAAACACCATCAGCTGTAATGGCCCCATGATGACAGGGGAAGCCTGCGGGAATCCAGGAAAAACTGGGTCCTGCTTCTCAGGAATCTAAGAGTCACAGCTACATATTGTAGTGCTCCATTTCTCCTACTCTCTTGACAAGACTCAAGGACAAACCTGGTTCTTATCTTTACAAAGAGTGAATGATATTGTGGTTAAGGTATGATGTGGACTCCTGAAGGAGACATCTGGGTTCAAATTTTGGCTCTGTCATTTATTAACTATGTGACTTCAGGCCAGTTACTTAATCCTCATCCTTATGAGACTGCTGTGAAGACTGAACACTTGAATATGTGCCAAACCCTTGAAAGAGTAAGTGCTGGTACCTAATATGTGTCACGGAGTACCAGCCATTATTGCAACCACACCCAGTTAACTTTTTATGTTCTCTGATTTAAGAAATTGCTGAGAATGAATGTCAAATGGGTTTCATCTACCCCATGCTAAAAGAGGTATTCTAAGAAAACCGAGCCTCCTTGAAAGTAGGACATTGCATTTTCACCCGTGATTCCCAGTTCAGGTATATAGTATAGAGATATTGGTGAACAAAAGAGTGAGGTTGCCATGTTGGGCTCTTCCCAGGGATCCTTGATCCCTGTAAGCTCTTGCCATTGCATTCTGCCACTCCTCGTTTACCATGGAGGATTAGAGCAAAGGATGGGCCTGAGAATAGATGAAGAGGGTCTTCATTTTGGGAAGAATGAAGACAACATCACCCTTTCTGAAGCCCTTGTCTTGTCACTCCCTACATTTTCTAATGTGGAGCATCATACAACCCAGTTATTTAATACCTAATATGACATGCCTTTTAAATTACATGGAGCTTTTTGGGACAATGTCCTTTAAGAAATTTAGTAAACCAGTCAATAATAACTGTGCTAATTCAACTGTCTAAATCCATAACCAGAGTTCACAGAAAACAAACATGGTAACACACTGAGGTCTCTTGTAATTAAGAAAATGCAGTTTTAAATAATAAGGTATTTTTAAATCTATCAGATTAGAATTATGAAATTTTAACCAGTGTTGGATAGTTGTGGGGAAACAGACATATGCAATTGATGACAGTAGATAAATGAAAGCTTCTTGAAGAACAGTTAGGATATTATCATCAGTATGTAAAATGCAAAACTTGTGACATAGCAAGTCCACTTCTTAAAATTTACTTCCAAAACATATTTGCACAAATGCACAAAAAGATATGTGCAAAGGATGTTCATCTCAGAATTGTTAAGAAATAACAAAAAGCTGGAATGACCTGAATCAACAAAGGCCTGGTATTCATCAAGGGGGTCAATTTCGGTAGGTCCACACAAAGGAAATATTTAAAGAATAATGCGTGCTTATATATTCTGATTTGACAGACATCAAAGTACACTAACAATGGAAAAAAACTGCAGAATAAAACATTGTATGATTCTAGTTATGTAAAAGAAAAGGATATACCCTTGTGTGCATGGGTGTGTTAATAAAAAATTAGACAGTGATTACTCTGAGAGTGGAACAAGGGGTTTAGAAAACTTTCTTACAATCTATACTCTTCACTACTGTAAGACTTTTTTAAATGAGCATATTTTACTTTTTAAAAAATACATTTTTATTAATCAGGAAATATAATAAACATACACAACTATATAAAAATATAAATGTGAAAATTAATGAATTACTGAAAAATCAACACATGCGTAATCCCATCTTAGTTAAAGAACAGCATATGACCAGCATCCCAGAAGCCCCTGCTTCTCCCTTCCAAATCATAACCCTATCCCTTTCTTTTCATTTTAAACACTATCCCAGCTATGTATTTATTCTTTTGCTTTTCTTTCTAGCTTTTATATCTAATTATAGATTTAATCTTACCTTCTTCTTTTTTAACTTTAAAGAAATGGAACAATACAGTATGTATTCTATTGTGTTTGTCTGCTTTCTCTCACCATTATGTCTAAAATTTACCTATGTTGTTGTTGTATCTATATTGACAGTTGATTAATTTAATTGCTGTACAGAATTCTATTGATTAAGTGTGTCATAGTTTATTCCTGTTAATGAGCATTCGTGTTGTATTCAGTTTTGACTAACACAAACACTGTTGTTTATAAACATTCTTGTACCTGTTTTACGGTGCACAAAAGTGTGCATTTCTGTGCTATACACACAGATTGGAATTGCTCAAACATGGATGAATCAGAGTTTTCACTTTACTAGATGCTGCTGAGCTGTTTTCCAAAGTGTATTTGTGATGATTAGCACAACCACTGGCAGTGTAAGAGAGTTCCTGTTGCTGGCCAAGTGGCTGTGTAAGGAATATCTCACTGAGCTTTTAATTCACATTTCCCCAATACTACAGAAATTGAGTATTATTACTTTTTTTAAAAACTTTTTAATGTGATTTGAGTGAAGGTTACAGGGCAAATTTGTTTTCTGTTCAATAATTCATATATATGTATATGTATCTATATATAGATATATAGATACAGTGACATTGATCACAATCCTCACAATGTAACAGCACTCTTCCCACTTACTCCATAAGATTAATCTTTCTTTTCCATCTTATTTCCTATTCCTCCCTGACTCTGAGCTTTATCCCTAGGCAAATGCTGCCCTTTTGCTCTCTTATGGGTGATTGCTGTAAGGAATACACACCTTCCTGGTGTTATTGTTCACAATATAGGCTTGTCTATTGTTTGGTTGAAATTTGAGCCATGGGGCTGTTCATTTCCAGGCTTGAAGGATGACTATGGGTCATAGTCTCAGGGGTTCCACCAGTCTCTATCAGATCAGTAAGACTAGTCTTTTTTTTTTCTTTTTAATGATTTTTGCATTTTGTTCCTTTTTATAAGTTAAAATATAATATGTAAGAGTTAGACTAGGATATATTATATCACAGAGAGATTCTTAAGCATTTCTGTTTATTTGTCGAAAGGCTTTGTTGAGATTCCTGTCCTTATTTGTGTGTGCATAGCTTTTGGATAGACTACTTGCAAATTAAAGTGGAGCTGAAACTACACGTTCTCCATACATGTACTATTTTAGGTTCTGGAAAGGTTTAAACCTTGGGGAAATGCACAAATGGGAAGACATAGCTTTGATACAGAAATCTTTGACTTCTAATAGAGAAGAGATGGTGAAGAAATAGACTCTCAATAATTGCACTTGGGGACAAGGGCAGGGAGAAGGCTGATGGTTTCTGAGGGGCAATCCCAAGAAGAAAACAATAGAGCATCCCTGCCTCCTTGCAATCAACTTTTAGCGTTGGTGGATTTACTTTTGAGAAACTTAAATTTCTTTGGAAATTAAAATAAAAATGGAGGTATGAGTTTAGCAGCTTAGAATTCACTAATTGAAAATAGAGTCTGGGGCTGGATAAATGTGGGGTTGAAGGGATGCTGTTAACTTAAGGAAAACAAAGGAAAGAACGAAAACAGGATTTGGAAAAGAAGAAGGTATCTTCAAAACTCATCTTTCCAAAACAGGGATATATTCCTCACCTTGTATTCATCCAACCAAACGTGCACCACTCTTAGATTGTTGTATGCCAGAGATTTCATAGTTGTAAAATTATTTTGAAAGTGTTCCTTACTGATATGTCCTACTCGAGAGCAAGGGATAATAAAAAGTTGGCCTCCACACATCCAGATCTAGATATAAATAAAACAAAACACATATTTATGTAATATACAATGCTGATTTTTTTTTACAAACAATAATAGCTAAAATTTATTAAGTTTATTTCATTTAATCCTCTTAACAACCATATAAAGTAGGTACTGTGATTATCCCCACCTTACAGATGAGGAAAGTACTGCATAGATTGATTAAGAAACTTGCCCAGTGTCACATAGCTATCAAATGCAGATCAAACTCAGGAAATCTGGCTCCAGAACCACAGCTCTGAGAAACGGTGATTCTGCCTCACTCATCAATAATAAATTCTAATGCTGATGTTTGTGAAAATTGGCAAGACATTGTTCTTAAAATATCCTGAAAATAATGTTTCTGAAGTAATTAAGCATTGCTGGAGTAGTGCAGTGGTCAAAGCATTTGGCTGCTAACCAAAAGGTCAGCAGTTTGAACCCACCAGCTGCTCCATAAAAGAAAGATGAGACTGTCTGCTTTTGTAAAGATTTACAGCTTTGGAAACCCTATGGGGAACTTCTACTCTGTCCTATAGGGTTGCTATGAGTTGAAAGTGACTCAGTGGCAGTGGTTTGGTTTGGTTTTGAATGTAACCAAGTAACAAGAGAAATGCTGATCATACTGAATTAAATTATTTGTTCATTGTTTTTGTACTTAAAACACCTTGTAACACTTATTTGTAACAACTTGTTTTTTTTTTTCACTCCACAAAAGTAAATCATGGTCACTGAATACTTGGCAAATACTAGAAAGCATGCAAAAATAAATAAATAAATAAATACAAATCACTTCTAGTCCTAACATTCTGAGTTAGTTGATATTAATCCAGGTATGTAAGTACATCCACGTATACCCATATTAAGATAAACTTGCTTTTTTTTTTTTTTCGTTTGATGTTAAGTGAAATTATTTTAAAAGTCTTATATTTTGGGACATTTTCATAGTTTCCAAATTTTATTATTGGAAATAATGCCACAAAGAATATGCTTGTATGATTTATACATCTTATCTTACCCTTGCCATGACTTTTTTGTTTATTCATGTGGCACCCAGCAGCAGCAGCAGCAGCAGCAGCAACAGCACCTACGAACTTGCTAGAAATACAAACTCTTGGACCCAACTCCAGACCCACTGAATCAGAAACTTTGGGATTGAAACCCAGCAATCGGTGTTTTAACACATTTTCCAGGTGATTCTGAGGCACATGAAAACTTGAGAATCAATCAATCTTTAATTGATTAAGAGCATATATCCTAGTTTCTTGCATATTTTCATAGACTATAAAAACCAAATAAATACATAAATCCAAAAAACAAACCAACTGGTATGAACTCTGACTCATGGCAACTTCGTGTGTGGAGAGCAGCACTGTGTTCAGTGTCTGAGTTTTTGAAAGGAGATCACCAGACCGAGGTGCCTCTGAGTAGACTCAAACCTCCAGCCTTTGGGTTAGCAGCCAAGTATGTTAATCTTTGCACAAATCATGGACTCCTAGGAAAATCTATTCCTAGGAAAATATACCCTTTCCTTAATTATTTAGGAAACAGTAACAGGAAATTAAGATCTTCATTTAGTTGTTGTTATTTGCCGTTGAGTCGGACTCGACTCATAGCGACCCCTCCTTGGGCTTCCGAGGCAGTATCACTACAGAAGTAGATTGCCTAACTTTCCTCCCAAGGAGTGGCTGGTGGGTTTGAACCGCCAGCTTTCTGGTTAGCAGTCAAGTGCCTTAGGCACTATGCTACCAGAGCTCCTAAGATCTTCACTAAATAAGGTGAAAAATATCACCTCTGTTGCTGAGTAAGACAGCCAAAATGGATTATTTTAAAGAGGTACACAAAACATGGATTTTAAAAAGGTTTGTTGTTGCTGTTGTTGTTATTTGCTATCGAGTTGGCCCCGACTCATTACGACCCCTCCTTGGGTTTCCGAGGCAGTATCACTACGGAAGTAGGATTGCCCAACCTTCCTTCCGAGGAGTGGCTGGTGGGTTTACCCTTTATGTTTCCAATAAAAAGAGATAAAAGCAACTTTGAAAAGTACTTTGGATCCAGTACCCAAGAGCCACAGAACATTGGATCTACACTCTGGCCCACAATGACAGTGTCTAACAAAATTTTTATGCTTGATAATCTCATGGCAACTATTGGTCACACAGCATTACTGACTGTCGGTCTCAGGGCTCCAATAAAGTGGTGTTAGGGTAGTGGTGGTTGTTATTGTGATTATTACTATGGCAATCAACTCATCCTAGGCTAACATTGCAATCTGGTGGCCAACATTCCAAACTTTCTCATTCAAAATTACTCATCTTCCACATAACTTCTTTTCCTTAATTATTGTTCATAAACATGATTTGTCCTTCCCAGGATTTCATGCTCACAGTTTAGTTATGTGATCTATTCCTTAAAAGAAGGCATATATACCTTTAACTCTCTTTCTTGTCATTCTTTCAACTCTTTATCAGGGGAATGAGAGTAGGGGGTAGGAGATGGAGGTGATGACCTTAACTGTTGCTGATAAGCATAAAATGTAGCATTAGTGATTATTCTGGATGGAGAAATAAGAAACCTAATGACTGGTATGACCAACTTCTAGCACTCTTTAGAAGTATGCAAAAAAATACTCCCACAGAATGTTCAGAAAAATCTCCACCAGATTCCTTCTCTAAAATGTAAGGCATAGTAGAACAATATTGATGTTCTTAATATTCTTTATGATCTTTCAAATAGGAGCTTAAAGGAAAATATAATGCTCTAGAAATTTCTACAAGGCGCTCTGGTGGTGTAGTGGTTAAGGCATTTGGCTGCTAACAAAAGGGTCAGTGGTTCAAACCCATCAGCCATTCAGTGGTAAAAAGATAGGACAGTATGCTTCCATAAAGATTTACAGCTTTGGAAACTCACTGGAGGTTGCTATGACTTGAACTCAATTTGATGGCAGTAAGTTAGGTTTGTTTGACATGTTTGTACATTCGTAAGAAAATATCTGAAGCATTATGAAAAAGATCTGTACTTAAAAGAACTTTTAAAAACTAAACAAAGGAGAAAGGAAAAGGAGATAATAAAACCCAAAACAGAAAAATTGGAAAAAGAAAACAAAAAGCAAAGTAAATCTCATCATGCATGGCAGGATGATATGTGCAACTTAATAGTAGAATAATAACGGTTATTGTTTATTAATCATCTCCTATAAATTATGTCGGTGGCTGCCGTGATGGGCTCAAGTATAGCAGGGATCATGGAGCTGGCGCGGGATTGGGCGGTGTTTTGTTCTGCTGTGCATGGGGTTGCTATGAGCCGGAAACGACTCCACGCCACCTAACAACAACAACAACAACAATCTTTTCAACAACCTTATACAACATGGAAAATTTTTCATCATTTTACATACAAGGAAACAAACCTTAGAATATGGACTTAGTTTTAGAGTAAGCTGTTCTTTGTTGGGAGAATAGGTAAACGAGACAGAGATAAGCGAGACAAAAAATGTGAAGGGTGATAATGGAGATTTCACAGCCCAAATTTTTAAGCACAGTTCAAAATTTATGGAAATTTATGTTACAAAAATTTATTGGACTTTGATTAAAAACAAAAAAATATTTACAATAGCCATATGTTAACCATTTGAATTGTTGTTGTTGTTTGGTGGCCTCAAGTTGGCTCTGACTCATGGCATCACTATGTACAACAGAATAAAACTCTGCCCCATTGTGGGCCATGCTCATAGTCCTTGTTATATTTGAGCCCATTGTTGCAGCCACTGTGTCAATCCATCTTGTTGAGGGTCTTACCCTTTTTTGTTGACCCTCTACTTTACCAAGCATGATATCCTTCTCCAGGGAATGGTACCTTCTGAAAACATGACCAAAGTAAGTGAGATGAAGTCTGGACATTCTTGCTTCCAAGCAGCATTCCAGCTGCACTTCTTCCAAGACAGATTTGTGTGTTCTACTTGCAGTCCATGGAATTTTCAGTATGCTTCACCAACACCATATTTCAAATACATCAACTGTTGTTTGGTCTTCCTTATTCACAGCCCAGCTTTCACATGCATGTGAGGCAACTGAAAATACCATGGCTTAGATTAGGTGCACTTAGTCTTCAAAGTGACATCTTTGCTTCTTAACACTTTAAGGAGGTCTTTTGCAGTGAATTTGCCCAGTGCAATACAATGTCTGATTTCCTGAATGCTGCTTCTATGGGTGTTGATTGTGGATTCAAGTAGGATGAAATCCCTGAAAACTTTAAACCTTTCTCCATTTGTCATGATGTTGCTTATTGGTCCAGTTGTGAGAATTTTTGTTTTCTTCATGTTGAGGTGCAATCCATACTGAAGACTGTATGTAGTCTTTGATTTCCATCAGTAAGTGCTTCAAGTCCTCTTCACTTTCAGCAGCAAGATTGTGTTGTCTGCATATTGCAGGCTGTCAATGAGTCTTCCTCCAATCCTGATGCAACTTTGTTCTTCATACAGTCCAGCTTCTCAGATTACTTGGTTAGCATACAGATAGAATAAGTATGGTGAAAGGATTCAACCTTGACTCACACCCTTCCTCATTCTAAACCATGCAATATCCTCTTGTTCTGTTCAAATGACAGCCTCCTGGTCTATGTACAAGTTCCTCATGAACGCAATTAAGTGTTCTTGAATTCCTATTCTTCTCAATGTTATCCATAATTTATTATGATCCACACAGTCAAATGCTTTTGCATAGTCAATAAAACACATCTTTCTGGTATTCTTCACTTTCAGCAAAGATCCATTTGACATCAGCAATGATATCCCTCATTCCACATCCTCTTCTGAATCCAGCTTGCATTTCTGGAAGTTCCCTGTCAATATATTGTTGCAACCGTTTTTGAATTATCATCAGCAAAATGTTACTTGCATGTGATATAAATGATACTGTTTGATAATTTCCACATTGTGTGGGATCACCTTTCTTTGGAATGGGTACAAATATGGATCTCTTCCAGTCAGTTGGCCAGATAACTGTCTT